GCTACCTGCACCCTGTCAAGGTAGGAGGGCAAGACACACTGCGGAGCTGGGGCGGGCAGCAGGGCACCCGGACTTGCCCGGTCTGCCAGCACCTGGGCAGCTGCCTCCGAGCCCTCACCCAAAGAGGCGGGGGACAGATCGGCCGCGGGAACTTGGCCCTCGAGGTCCCCACTGCTTAACTGTTCGCAGGTTTAAACCCGAGGTTGCTGGGTAGGGAGTCTCACGCTCCTTGGAGGATGCAACCCACAGGATGCCCTTTCCTGGTGAGAGGTTTCTCGGGGTGCCTGATGAGGCGCTCGGTTGCACGTCCTGGTAATTTTTACAATCAGAGTTATATTTATGAGCCTTTTTGGTTTTAAGTGTTTTAATTTACATAGTTGCATTTCCATTGTCGTTTTACCAGCTGTTTGAAAAGTTTCATGAATTAAATGTTTATGAACTATAGGGTAATGGAGTTATCTGTCCCTTAGTACTCCTAGGAAACCAGTGTTGAAAATATTTTGTAAAACTGGTAAGAACAAAATGAGACCGTTTTGCATCCCCACAAAATATATTTCAGTACGTTTTAATAAAGGTTAACGATCATGGACTAGACAGCCACCAAGTGTGTTAGAAAAACTAAAATGTGTTTATGTAATCTGTATAATAAATTGGTATATTCGTTGAGTGATCTTATTAAATACTATATTCAAATTCTGTAATGGACAGTTATCCAAGAAAATCCGTTTTGTATAATTTTTTTACATTACATATAGGTAGGTTGCTCATTATTTAGACTCTGCATTGTCCTTTTCTCCTAGACTTGATTTTTTTGAAATTCTATATTCATCTGGCTTTCTGTTCAAAATATGAAATCGTCCTCATATTTCCTAAACCTAAACTTTCAAATTTTTGGTTCCACCATTCTGAAGTATTTGGCTACACACACACACACACACACACACACACACACACAATTATGAGTTAGTCTTAAATATATCAGTGTTCAATAAATTATTGAATAATCATTATTGAAATGTTTAAAAAGTACACCCTCTAATATTAATTGAACTTTAAATGCTGTGGTGAGGTGTAACAAAATTTACTTTGCAAATATAATCAACCTGATTATAGGCTAACACTATTTTAAATATTAAATATAAAAAATTTAAATATCATTTGTTTATAATTGTGAAAGCTCCTATTCCATTCATGTGTTATATACAGTGTAGAGCAAAAGTAGGTTCACAGTTGTTCAAATGGAAAATAATAAATAATAATACAAGAATAAACTGTTAGGCATACTCAACTGTAAGCCTACTTTTGCCCCACCCTGTTTAACAATCTCAGCTGAAAAGTCTTTTTTTTTTTCTAAATAATAAAATCTCCTCCATGTTTTATTGGACTTCAAAGAGTCTTATGAAAGAACACAGAAAAACCCATGTGAGGGTGTCCAGGGGTTACAAGGCAGTCTGCAACCTACCCCCCTCCTAAGACCAGCCCCAGGAGCGCCCACCCCAGGCCTAAAATAGGACCCCAGAGTAAAGGCATGTTAAGGAGTGAGGCAGAGGGAAAATACCTTTATAGCCGTAACAAAAAATAGGTAGAGAAGAGAGTTGTCTAGAGGGTGGGAAGGGTGGGAGGACGTGGTCACACAGCCACCTTCACCTACACCAATCTTCCTTAGCCACCTCCTTCCCTAAATTGGCTGTGTCTGAAGAGTCATTTCTTATTAAGGGGTTTGTATTACGGTGTGCATTAAATTGCTTTCAAATATATATTAATAATAGATTTTTTTACTTGACATTTAAATATTAAGTAGACTTTATTACAAAGAGGATCTGTTAAATGCCTCTTTGTGAGAGGTGTAATTCAGATGATAAATCAAGTTGTTTTTCATCTTAGTTTCTTGCAGTGCTTTTTTGAATAATGTTAGAACCATAATTTTCAGGTAACAATAAGCTTAACAAGAGGTGGGTTTTTTTGTTTTGTTGGGGTTTTTTTTGCACTTGATTCATGTACCAAATGTTTTTGTAGTACTGTAACTCCTTTAGGAAAAACTAAATCTCATTTGCCCTCTGGATTATTCTGATTTTAAAAGACGACTCTAGGGATAATGAAACATGGTCAAAGATTACCTTTTAATGAAATTGATGGTGGTTGAACAAGTGACTAGTCTGTTTTAAAATCATTTACTGAGTGCCTACTATGTGCAAAGAAAGCACTGTGTTAGCAGAGTGAATACAGTTAAGGGTAAGGCTCAATCCCTGCCCTGAATGAACAGAGAGACAAAGATGTAAGGGAGAATGTTGTATGTGCCATAAGAGAGCTATAATCATATGCTGTGGAAGTTCAGAGGAAAGAGGTTTTACATGCATAATTGAGACCATAACACATTATTTTACAGGCACTACTAAAAATGCTTAACTATTAAATCTTTGATTAATCTAATGCAAATAAAAATGGTCTGTTTATTGCACTTTTTGGTTAACTAAAAGTATTTTAGCCCTTAGTATTCCAAGGACCTTAGAACTAAACTGATTATATGACAACACCCTCCCAAAAAGGAAAGGTCCATTCTGAAAGGGCTACTTATGTAATATGGTTTTCCATTACCATGCCTATTTGGTAATCAATTATATTGAGAGGTTGTTCATTTTAAAGGTGAATTTAGAAAAAGTCACAAATTAGAATACAATGTGATGATTACTGAAAGATTAGAGCTGTGTGATTAGAGCCAATATATCCAGACATTTAATCTGGATGTTCTGTCTCATTCTAATATTTGTAACTTCCAGATATTGCTTTTAGCTAGATAAAATGTTTAGATAGTTGAATTAGTCACCTTTCACTGTAGTTCTTTGATAAGTAGAGACAGATAATATTTACCATGGATAACATTTTTTTAAAAAATAGGGAACATTTCATGAATTTGGAGCCATGCTAATCTTCTCTGTATCATTCCAATTTTAGTATATGTGCTGCAGAAGAGAGCACTTACCATGTATAACTTTTAAAAATATCTTTAAAGCCAAGGATCTTGTTTTAGGCTTAGTTTGAAATTAAAACATTGTGGGTAAATTTTCCTACAGTTATTATATTCATTCTCCATGATTTCTTGCCCACATGCACACATACTATTTTATATAGTTACAATCAAAGTCTGGGTATATTTTTATTTTCATTGTTAGCATTAATAAATATTTTTTCATGTTATCCCTTAGACTTCATAATTACACTTGTTACTAGCTATAACTATATAAGATTGCATTTGCATTGAAGTATTTGGAATTATTATTATTACAGATTATAACTGCCATAAATACTAACTTTTAGATTCTTGCTTAAACATTCTTTTTCAGAAATGGCCCATGCGATCAAGATTATACATCGGTGCTACTGGTCAGTTTCTGAAGCATTCTGTCTCTGGAGAGAAAGCAAATCATGGCAATATGCCAGCAGATTCACAGCCTTAGGCTGTCCCCTGATGGGTGCTGAAAGAAAGTGGTGTCTATTGTTTTTAAATAGTATGAAATAATTCTGTATTTATTACATCAGACATAACAAACATCATTTCTGAAAGTTTACATATGAATCCATAGTTGAGTTTTCAGATTTATCTGTCTAATCTAAATAAATGAGAAATGAAATGGTCTTGTATAAAACACAGCTTATCTATTCAGTCTGAGACGTAGTCACTACTATATAATGCAGGAGAAACTATTGGAAAAAAGGAAAGACACACAAAAGCAAAAAACTGTATATATATCCATAGAATGCATACACTCTGTAGTGTATTTATTACAAACTGAAAAGCTGGTATCTATTGATAGTCTTTCTAGTTTACAAAAATAAAAGCTGTATTTGTAATATACCAGTATTTCATTTTTGTAAAAACCAGTCCATGCTTAAAGTTGGTCTAAGAAGCTATTTCAGTTGGAAGGTGTGACATCATTTATTCAGTTTCAGCTGAGTATGTGTGAAAAGACTGCTGAGGTAATATGATGATGCAGTAACTTCTATATCTAGCTATTGTTCCCTCTTAGAAAACTTGTTAGGAACATTAAAAATTGTTTGCTTCAAACAAAAAGGAAAAAAAAAAGTAATTGTTTGCTTCATAGGACAGGGCTTGCCCACCATCCTAGAGGATTACTAAATATCTAATTACTAGAGGCCTGTAGGCCTTCCTTGCCCTGGCTGCCGGCACTGGCACCGGCTTCCTTCTGGCACCCGGGACCTGGGCTTCCCTCGCCCCCAGCTTCATCTGGATCGTCCGGTCTAATTAGCGTGTTACCCTTTTATTATTATAGATAATTCCAAATTGTAGAAGGTTTTGGAAATCCCTGCAGCGCAGATGGGTGTCACTGGGCAGTAGGGCTCATCCCCCTCCTCCCTGGTCACTCGATATCCATCCTACTCTCTTTCAGGTCCTGGACTAGCTGAGAAGGTGTGGTTGCAGCCACCCTAGAGAGTGAGCCCCCATGACCCTCAGTCACAGCTTTGGCCGGGCTCCTTCTCCCCTTGTCAGCTTCGGTTCACAGTCTACCTATTTGGCCATTATGACATGGGAGACATCCTGTCTGATTTGGGAATTCTGCCACTGATCTGTGCCTCGAGGGGGTCTGAGGACCACCCTGATACATCAGGCCAGAGCAGGCCCTCCTGAACCTGCCCCGATGTGAACCTACAGCCTGGGAAGGCCCTCTGCTCTGGGCCTCTCCTACCACACTGCACATCAGGTGCCATAAAGTAGAGATAATGGTCAGGGAACATACTGAATCTTTAAACACCTGAAGAAAAATCTCCAATCTCTTTTGTCATGTTTCTGCTGCCTTAGATTTCCTTTTATTTCCCTTGTTTTTTACTCAGTCTTCTATTATTCCACTTTCCAAATGTAAAGTTCATTTATTTCTCAGTGACCCTGTTTTTAAAGTTGCTGAATTTGATCCAAGATTAGCAAACAGAAAGGCATATTAAGGGGCTTGGTTGAGTTAATATTGCAGTTGAACCACCACTTTATTTTCTCCTCAGTTTTCTTTAAGGTTTTGGCAGTGAAATGAAAGACTATTTAAGGCAAAAACTACCATTTAGTTCATTCAGCCAAACATCAGCATGTTTTGCCTCCTATCTGATAGTTTGTAACTTTCATTATTTTAATGTGAATATCTCCTTGTAATGTGATGGAAGTGTGTCTTTACAAGAAAATGTATTAATCAAAACTCTGTACATATTGATATTTAGCAAAATGTTTGTATATTTAAACATTTGTGAATATATTTACTCATGTAACACTGAAAGGGATAAAAAGTAAAATGAGTTATGGATTCAGGCATTCACTATTAAAAAAAAGTGCTAAGAATAATCTTTTATCTTAAGGAATAAAATCAAAACTTCTTTAAAGTTACCTGAAAATGAACTATAAACTCTACATTTGATAGGAGGAATTTCAGAAAAATGGCTCTCTTGCTAATCTATTTGGCTACAGTGCTTACTTAAAGCATTTAATTGGGAGAAATTTATGACTTGTTGATTATCAGACTTTTCTAAATCATTGTTAGATACTTTGCCTTTTATAGTATCACTTTTTATTTCTTCTTGTCCGGTTATATAAATGTGTTAATGCCAAAGAAGTATATTTCTGTCATGGGTTTTCATAACTTTTTAGTAAATTGCTAAATATGCTAACAGATTTTGGTGGGTTGGAAAATATCAGAGAGAAATTGCATGTTTTCACCCAAAGGTTCAAGGGAGGATGCTGTTTTCATTAATGGTGCATGGTCAGGATAAAGAATATTACTAAAATAAAGCACTAATTGAAAATTAATTTAGTCTGTTAAATTTGCATCTGTCTCTGTGTCTATTTAACAAATGCTGAAGGTACATTTGAAAATCTTTCTAGTAGATATCTACTTGGCTTTAGCTTCATTATATATTTTTTTAATAAAGTATATGTTAAGACTGGAGAGGGGGTATATTTGGATCACAATATTCTATAATCTGCAAGGTAAATTTCTGTCAGTTCACTCAGCTCTCTCAGTGATATGAGATACATTTAAATTCCTTTATAATGATAATTTGGGGGGAGAAGGAAATGCCTTTTTAGAAGCATGAATTCCAACAGACTTTAAAAATATTTTTATTTTTCTGATTATAAAAACACAATGCAGTTTATTGTACACCAATTATACATCAATAAGCTATTTTAAAAGTATATAGTATATACCCCTTTTTAAAAATAAAATTAATAATAAAAGGAATGAAGTGGAAAATAAAAGTCCTACAATGTAGGTGGGTGTTTGGGGTAAAGTTGGGGATATCTGTTCACATGTTACTTGGTAATAAAAAGAGTAGTTCTGCGATATCTATAGTTTCCCAAATTATTTACAGTTAGTAGTATACTATTGGTGTCTTTCTCCTTAGTACACACTTTAAAATTTTTATTTTTATTTTTTTTAATATATTGATTTTTTACAGAGAGGAAGGGAGAGGGAAAGAGAGTTAGAAACATCGATGAGAGAGAAGCATCGATCAGCTGCCTCCTGCACACCCCCTACCGGGGATGTGCCTGCAACCAAGGTACATGCCCTTGACTGGAATCGAACCCGGGACCCTTCAGTCCGCAGGCTGACGCTCTATCCACTGAGCCAAACAAGCCAGGGGCACACTTTAAAATTTTTAGTTTTGTTTCTGTTGTTATTGTAACTTATAAAATATCTGAAATAAGATTCCAAGTTTTTTAAAGGAGCACTAGGGAAATATTATAAAATTGTATATTTCAAATAAATTAATGTGTACTTTTATTACATACTGGTAGATGGTGGTCTTATATATGACTGTTTCACTGAAAAAAAAAATTAATGCCCTTTAAGTTCTATAGATTTGCTTCCTGTGAACTTGGAGTACGGCCCAGATGGTACTGCAGCACAGTTGGGAATGAGGGACATTAAGTATTCTTGCCTAACTACATAAACCTGGGGAGGGCTTTCCTCCCTATGTTTACACAAGTCTTAGTTTCAACTCATAAGAGAAACCAGCTCAGTGAAATACACCTCAATCACTCAAACTCTTTCATTATAAATTATACCACAGCATTTAGCTGTCAGAAGCTTTTAAATTACAAACTGAAGAATAATCTTAACTATTAGGCTTAAAGATTATGTCAATAGTCATTTCCTGTACATATGAATGTTACTGAAGAAATTCATGCGTTCCTGCCCTCCTGCCCTCTCAGGACCAAGAAGTATGTCCATGGGGAGCTCTGGGGATTGGACTTAAATCACTTGTGTCCATTTTGATGGCCATTGGAAAATGGGGGCCATTTAAAACAATGTGAGGTCTAAATAAGAATTTATTTTAAACATTCTTATTTTCAAATAAGTTCTGAAATTACTCAAAAATTTTTAAATGTGTGCTATTATAAGGCATTTTAATACTTTACATAGATGGGTATATCGTGTGGGTCAAAATTTTTTAAAAATTAGTTATATTTAAAAAATAAATAAAAAAGGCCTGTGCAAGATTGTTTCTATTCTGGATGCAGCACATCTTTGCCTCTTGCTAACTGTAAGACCCTAGAGCAGAGTCATTTTGAAAGGTAGGCTATCACCAAGTGAAAAAGTGGTGTGCAATGGCAGAACCAGGAGAGGAAGAGGAGGAAGGTGGGAGGTGGGAAGCTGTTCCCAGATCCTCCTTTTAGAAAGAGGAAGCCAGTGTCCAATCAGGCTAGAAGTGTAATGTTCTGAGACATAGAGGAGAGACTGACTTGAAAACGAGAACTGGTTTCAGGATAAAGCCAGAACAACAAAAAATCTGCTAATTCTGGGCCACACGTGGCCTGAGAGGTTGAGAGCAGCCACACTGGGGCTCAGGAAGGACTAGGCCCAGGTGGTTCTATTTCCCTCTCTGGCCAGACTACCAAGACCAGAGGTTGGACGATGTCTAGAGTGATGGTGCTGGTGAGAATGGCTTGACCCAAGACAGAAACAATATCTGCTGGTCTGGTCTTCCCCGCCTCCCCAACCATGTGAGCTCCACTCAAGGTTTATGACCACTCTAAGGAATATGCACTTTGATTATATTAGTGCCCTCCCTTCCCGAAAGTGAATAGGAAGTGAATGGTGGGAGGTGATAGCTATTACTCAAGATCCACCTTTAGCCCGGCCCATGTGGCTCAGTGGTTGAACTTGAGCATCCACCCATGAACCAGGAGGTCATGGTTCTATTCTGGGTCAGGGTTTATGCCCAGGTTTTGGGCTCAATCCCCAGTAGGAGGCATAAAGAGGCAGCCAATCAATGATTCTCTTTCATCACTGATGTTTCTCTCTCTCCCTGCCTCTCTCTCTAAAATTAAAAATATATTTTAAAAAGTTTTTATCACAAGAAAAAAAATTGTAACCATGTGAGATGAAGGATTTTAACTGAACTTACTGTGGTAATTATTTCCCAACACACAGATATCAAAACCATTATGTTGTAGTCCTTAAACAATGTTATATGTCAATTATATCTCAATAAAATGGGGGGGGGTTAATTGGACTTAGAAGCTAAGTAATGATGACTAATTTTTTGGTATACTGGAGTTAACTTGTTTTACCCATAATGTTTGAGCATGCATGTCTTTGATGAAAATAAATCTCTTATTTTTATCCTCATGCCTTCTCCCCTTCCCCTACATAATATTAAGTGGAGGAATGTGGAGGGAAAAGAATACAAATTAAAAATACCCATTATTGGTGAGAATGGGGAAATGATGACTGTTGCACTATTGGAGTGGAAGCTCTTTTAAGTACAATTTGGCACTGACTTAGCAATTCCACACTTAAAAATTTCCCTTAAAATACACTTATATTCACAAATGTATAACAGAATAATTATTACAGGTATTCATCGATTTTTTTCCTACAATTTATAGATTTAACAGTTTTCCCTGCCCTCAGTATTGGTTGCATTCACGTAACCTAACAAAATTGCACATCTGAGAATGAACCTTCAAGGGTTTGCTAGTATCTAATGGTGATGCCTGACCACTTAAGTTGGCCTATGAAACCCCTACCTATATCACTGCCCTTACTCTCAACCACTTCCTACATTATACTTTAAGTTGTAGAAAACACACACACACACACACACACACACACACTCCTATTTCATGCTTCAGTGCCTTTATTCATCAATCATCAGTTGGTCCAAAAATATTTTTTTAATGCTATGGCACAGATTGCTCGTTGCTTACTATATCAGTTAGGAATTACATTTAGCTGCTAATAAGAAAGACCCAACTACAGTGGCTTAAATAGATTAGAAGTTTTTCCCTCATGTAAAAGAAAGCCACAAGTGATAACTTCATAAAGTTATCAGGGTCCAAGGCTTCTGCTTTTTTCTCATTGGTCAGAACTGGGTCACAGGGTCATCCTCTGGTGTAAGGAAGATATATGGATGTTTGGTATCTGCTCCAGCTAGTTTAAAAAGAAAGAGGCTTATTATAGACTAGAGGCCCAGTGCACGAATTTGGGTGGGATCTCTAGGCCTGGCCGGCAATCAGGCCGATCGGGGCCAGGCTGATCAGGGCTGGGCTAGAGAGAAAGCGATGGTCATCGGGCCGGGTGCGGAAGAAACAGACACTGGATGCGGACATCATCGGTGCCCCACCACCATGCGGTTCCCCGCCTCCCCCCCACTCCTTCCCTCACTGCTGCATCGCTACCGCTACCGCAGTGGGTGGGTGGTGGGCCTATCGGGGCCTGCTGGCCGGGGGGAGGAACAGGGCATAGGAGGTTATCCACCAGTCCCAAGGAGGGAGCCGGCCCTCAGCGCCCCTGGGAATGGGGCCATGTCCGCCGCCATCTACCCTTGGTTCCCTGTTCCAGCCTGGGAGCCAGCCCCAATCGGGTGATAGGGGCCTGCTGGCTGATGGGAGGAACTGCAGGAGGTTGGCCGGCCAGGGGAGGTTGGCTGTGGGAGCACACTGACCACCAGGGGGCAGCTCCTGCATTGAGCATCTGTCCCCTGGTGGTCAGTGCACATCACAGCGACCAGTCATTCTAGTAGCTTAGGCTTTTATATATATAGTTTATCAGTGACTTACAGAATCATTGGAATGAAACAAACTAGGTCTGAATTTATAGGAAAATTTTCCAATGTCATCCCACAGACCTGGGCTGCCAAAGCAGCTGATACTTCTGCCCTGGTCTGGATTCTGCCTGCCAAATGGGAAGCTGCCCCCACAGTGGCTCCAGAAGCACACTGTCTCTGCTGCATATACACCAGCAAAACAGATGCCTCCTGGCTTTTATTATAAGTTATGCTTTTCTCCCAACATAACTCAATTTAGAATTCAGACTTTTGCACCAATGGGTTTGATTGGCAGGACCCAATTCTCCTATCTGTAAGAGAGTCTTGGAATATATAATACTTAGCTTTTCAGTCTCTGAAGTACAAAAATGCAGATAAAAGGAGACTGGAATAGCTACTGAGAGAGCCAGTTCCAGCATCTACCACAGGAGGCAGGGGAAGCAGACATACACACTGGCTCAGCACTAAAAGTAGGCCCATAACACAAAAGAACTCAGAGTTTCATTATCAGAGAAGAGGGCTGGGGATGGCTACAGGGACAGCAACAAAAGTATCTATCTGTCATGAGAACCTGACCACGTCTTAAGAGATAAAGGAAGAGTTTCCTGAGAAGGCAAAGAGGAATAAGAAGAGCATTCTAGGCACAGGGAAAAGGAAGTGAGAAAAATATGCGGCTCTGAAAGAAAGTGCATGGAGAAGGGGGATGGATACTTCACATATATTATTTCATTTAATCCTCACAAAAATCCTAGG